TACATATATTAATATTAATATATATATATATATATGGCAACATAACCAAATCCAATAAACTAAAACATAAATCTTCAATTGGGTAAGTTTCCAATTAAATAATAAACCTCAAAAAAATGAAAAATGACGAAAATAAGAAGCATTATAGATATTTTCTTAAAAACCCCTAAAATAAATATCTTCAAAAGATATTTACGAAAAACACCCAAAGAAACATAAATGTTTCTGAAGAATCCTTTCATCCACGCCCCTCCGAGAAAAGGAAACAACTGCGAGCTTTTCTCTAAAAGTAAAATTACGCGTTTCGAGGAAATCAACTGGAATGAAAACTTATAAAGTCAAAACTCAACTCTGAACACGAAAAGTGAGGTTATGCCAATAAAGTGACAAACAGGGAAAAAGACGAAAAGTGCATAGTGTCGAACAACGAAAAAATGTGAAAATAACGCAGTCCTTCAAGGAAATTGTTAATCCAAAGGAAAGAGTCTTAGAAAAAAAATTTCGAGCACTCGAGATGACACTAAGTGACGAGAAACCTAACTCAGAAAAGAAAATCCAGTGAAAAAAATTTATCCTTAAAATCAGAGAAAAAAGGAAAGGAAGGAAATGACCGGATTTTTACAAATCTTTACCTCAACGCTCTCAACACATTTTAATCTTTACCTCAACGTCTCAGTGACATTTAATTTAAAGATTAAAGTTGTTGAGAACAAGATTAAAAAGTGTTGATGACAAGATTAAAAAGTGTTGATAACAAGATTAAAGGTGTTGAGAACAAGATTAAAAAGTGTAGAGATAAAAATTAAAATATGTTGAGAGCAAGATTAAATAAGGTTGAGGTAAATATTAAAGTTGTTGATAACAAGATTAGAGGTGTTGAGAACAAGATTCAATAGTGTTGAGAACAAGAGTAAAAAGTAATGACAACAAGATTAAAATATATTAAGAGCACGATTAAATAAGGCTAAGTTAAATATTAAAGTTCTTGATAACGAGATTAAATGTGACGGCAGAAGTTTTATAAACCCGGTGCGTCAGTGATGACCAAAAGACAACCCGATAATGGATCTGAAATGCGGAAGTGGAAGATGATTAAAGCAAAGGAAAAGAAAGGTTCTGAGGCATGGACAAGTGCTTGTCCAAAGCCAAAGCACTGAGCGCCCGTTCGGCACTCATACAAGGTCGGTTGTTCTGACCTACATGGTCAGGCATTCTAACTTACATAGTCAGGCGTTCTGACATACATGGTCAAGCATTCTGACCTACATGGTCAAGTATTCGGACTTACATAGTTAGGCGTTCTGATCTCCATGGTCAGGCGTTTTGACCTTCATGATCAAGCGTTTGGACTTACATAGTCAGATGTTCTGACTTACATGGTCAAGCGTTCGGACCTACATGGTCAGGCGTTCTGACTGCCGAACGACGAAACAGAAAACAACAATCTGCCGAATGATGAAACAAAAACAAGAAAATAGTTGAACGACGAAACAGAAACAATTTTAAGGCTAACCTTAAGGCTATACATGCATTCCAAATGATCTAAAACAAGTTTAAAAACATACTTGTGTGAACTTTAAAATTAATGGCCCTTGGTCTCATGTTATACATACAAAATAGGCATCTTCAAGTATTCTTAGATATACATTACACATCAAGGAAGCCATCTTAGCTTCTAAAATACCATACATCCATGGTATGCAAAAATATAACATCAAAAGTGAGCATGCTAAACATTTGCATATCAATACACAAAAATATTCCAAAGTGCTCATAAGCCTCCAAAGATGATAAACATCCGAGAATATTGTCTCCTTACCTGTAAAATAACCCAAACAACTAGGATGAGTAATCAAGTTACTGATAGGAAGAAGCATATGCGTATACCTTAAAGTTTCAATATCATTGTAAGATCAATATAGACGAATACAAGGGATCATTCCACTTAACGTCTATATTCAAGGTGTTCTAAGGGATCATCTTAAGCTAACTTAAATGATTCTTTAACAACACAACATCAATATGGATGTACTTAACAACATCAAATCGCCAATAACCAAAATTACAAGTCACAATTAAGCATTGGTTGTCAAGTTGGAATTGAATGAGAAACCAAATAGTAGAAAACTTGGACATCAAATCACGGAGTAAACCAAGACCTAAACAGTTATTCCGGGCACTAACCCACTCGGAATACCACCTTAGTGTGCACTATACAAAATGAGGAGAACTCGTACCTCCCGCACTAGAACCAAACTCTAGCTATATAAATTGTAACAATGTCCCAAGAGAATCCACAGTCATGATTAAGTTCAAAACTTATATACAACAATCAAGGCATGTAAACCACCTTCCATGCACAAATAATTTGAAACCACACACACCATGTCTTAGGGTTCCAAGTCTAGAATGGCGTAATAAATGACAAGTCCTTGTCATGATATAATGTACAAAACAATACCACCAACTTATCAATTAAATCATGCCTTAACAATAAGCTTTATATACTAAAAGTAATCAACAAGAATATAGAATTATCGTCAAAAAAAATATAGCAATTCAAGTTAATAAGAATTGTATATAACATTAATAATTCTACACAAGGGAAATACATATCATACATGCTTAAATCAATAAATCGTAAGTCACAAGTGAGGATTTCCTATAATATACAAGACTACAATATCAAAAGCATGTACATAATATATATTAAATAAAACACTAAAAGCATAAACATACTACCACCCCTACCTCAATAGAGAATTGAATCTCTATAATCCAAAACAACCAAGCTTAAAATGGGAGACAAAACTAGGGTTTTGTAGAGGAGAGTGAGAGGAAACTTTTACTTCCTAAGGTTAAAGGTCTAAGGTAAGTGGAAAGAGGTCAAAATGAAGTCAAAAGCTCTAAGCCAAGCTTTTCCTGTGATGGAGGCTAAGTTAGGGTTTGAGAGCAAAGGAAATGAAGAGATAAAATGAAATGAGGTGGGTGGAGGATCTAGTATTCCTCTACTCACTAGGTGTTCTTACACTACCTCTCTCACACACATAATGCAAGACTCAATTTGGTGCCTACACTTGTCACCATGGCTCATTCCTAAGCCTACACTTGTCAACCATCCAAGCCAACAAGTGCACCTATCCTAGGCCAACAAGTGGGTGAATCTCCACCCTCCACATGTCACAAGATAATGCTTCCAAGTGACTCCACCCTAATGCCAACAAGTGGCTCCATGAGAGTGTGACACTTGTCACACTTTCCAAAAATTGCAAAAAGGTCATTTTCTAAAATATCTTCCAAATTAAATTACAAAATGGTCCCTAAGATAAAAAAAATAATTACTTTACATAATTACGCTAGAACCCCAAAAATCAAGAATGTTTCTAAGGAAACTATACCTTCATGCCCTTTACGAAAAAGATAAGCAACTAACATGTTTTTCTACGAAAAAGATAAGCAACTAACATGCTTTTCTATGAAAGTAAAAATACAAATATCATGGAAATCAAATATCGTGGATGCATGCAAAGCCGGAATCAAATTCAAGCACGAAAAGTGACGTTATGTAAGGAAAAACGATAAACGTGAAAAAGATGAAACAGGAAAAAAGACAAAAAAAGAAATTACTGAAAAAACAAAAGAAGGAAAATGATCGGGTCATTACATTAAAGGTGCTAAGACCAAGATTAAAAAGTTTTGAGAATAAGATTAAGGATTAAAGGTAAATATTTAAGTTCTTTACCTTAACACTATCAATGACATTTAATGGTGTTAAAAACAAGATTAAAATGTGTTGAGAGCAAGATTAAATGGCGTTGATGTAATGATTAAAAAGTGTTGATACAAATATTAAAGGTGTTGAGAATAAGATTAAAAAGTGTTGAGATAAATGTTAAAATATGTTGAGAGCAAGATTAAATGAGGTTGAGGTAAATATTAAAGTTGTTGATAACAAGATTAAATGTATTGAGAATTAGTTAAAAAGTGTTGAGAACAAGATTAAAAAGTGTTGATAATAGGATTAAAATATGTTGAGTAAGATTAAATGAGGTTGAGGTAAATATCAAAGTTGTTGATAATAAGATTAAAATGTGTTGAGAACAAGATTAATATGTGTTGATAACAATATTAAAGATTAAAGGTAAATAATAAAGTTCTTTACCTCAATGCTCTCAATACATTTAATGTAAATATTAAAGTTGTTGAGAACAAGATTAAAAAGTGTTGAGAATAAGATTAAAAAGTATTGATAGCAAGATTAAAGGTGTTGAGAACAAGATTAAAAAGTGTTGAGATAAAGATTAAAATATGTTGAGGGTAAGATTAATTTGTTACATTGTCTAATTCAGACCGGAGGATGGAATATTGCTGTATTACAGGATGAAATTTTCACTCCTTTTACAAATTTTTGGCATACAGTTCCAATTTCCGCTAATCCAGATAAATTTTTATGGGATGGGGGTGCTTTCTCCTTTAAGAGAGCATATGAATGTTGTAGAAGTTCTGAAGTTGAAGTGCAGTGGCATAAAATGGTTTAGGGCAAGGCCAGGCCTTGATGGTCTCTAATAGCAGTGCTTGTTATGTAAAATAAGCTCCCTACAATGCTGAATTTGTAGAAACGAAAGATTACATTGGTTGCCAGATGTGTTCTTTGTTTACATGATCTGGACACTATGGATCATACTTTCATTACCTGTCCTTTTGCTAAGAATTTTTGGCAATGGATTGGTGATGTTTTGAATTGGAATATGTTACTTTTAGCAGAAATCTCTACAGTTTGGGATCTTTTCATCTGGTGTGACAATCAATTTCAGAATTCAAAGGTGCTTCAAAGTTTATTTGCTGCTTCTTTGTGGGCTATATAGAAGGAAAGAAATGTTAGATTTCATACTCGAGTTAGTACTTCTACTGTTTCAGTGGCTAGACAAATAATGTTTGAAGTTCTTATAGTTCATAATGCTAATCTTCAAGATATTGTCAGTTAAATTTCTGGTGCTATCATGGCTGATTTGATCGTTGTTTCTGCTGTTGGAGGTTTTGATTTTGCAGACAGTTCTTGGTAATTGTTTTATTTTGTTTTCTTTATGTTATGGTAGTGGGTTTTGTCCACTAGTCCAATGTTTTTTATTTTCTTTTCTAAGTTTTTGGGAGTGGATAATTGTATCGAATCTCTCTTGAGAGTTTATTCTTTCTGAGGGGATGCCCTCTGTGCACCTGTATATATTTTTTCTTTTCTTTTTATACAACCACAATTAAGAAAAAAAGATTAAATGAGGTTGAGTTAAATATTAAAGTTGTTGATAACAAGATTAAAGGTGTTGAGAAGATTAAAAAGTGTTGAGATAAAGATTAAAATATGTTGAGAGCAAGATTAAATGAGGTTGAGGTAAATATTAAAGTTGTTAATAACATGATTAAATTAAGGTGCTGAGAATAAGATTAAATGGCGCTAAGGTAAAGAATTAAAAGGGTGTTGATGTAAAGATTAAAGGTGTTGAGAACAAGATTAAAATGTGTTGAGGTAAAGATTAAAGGGCGTTGAGGTAAAGATTAAAGGTGTTGAGAACAAGAATTAAAAATATTGGGATAAAGATTAAAATATGTTGATAGCAAGATTAAATGAGGTTGAGGTATATATTAAAGTTGTTGATAATAAGATTAAATTAAGGTGTTGAGAATAAGATTAAATGACGTTAAGGTAAAGAATTAAAGAGCATTGAGGTAAAGATTAAAGGTGTTGAGAACAAGATTGAAATGTGTTGAAGTAAATATTAAAGGGCATTGAGGTAAAGATTAAAGGTGTTGAGAATATAATTAAAATGTGTTAAGAACAAGATTAAATGGTGTTGAGGTAAAGATTAAAGGGCATTGAGTTAAATATTAAAGGTGTTGAGAACAAGATCAAAATTTGTTGAGAGCAAGATTAAATGGCGTTGAGGTAAAGATTAAAGTTGTTGAGAACAAGATTAAAAAGTGTTGAGATAAAAATTAAAATATGTTGAGAAAAAGATTAAAATGTGTATCCAATTGGTTTAGAAGTTAAGATTAAAAGATGTACATATACAATTGATTTAAAGTGTTGAAAACAAGATTCAATGTATTTAAGGTGTTGGGATTCATGTTGAACAAGATTAAAAAGGTATATCTAAATATTTAAATCATGTTAATGGTAAATTATTTAAAAAATATAAATCAAAATATACTTGTCAATCATTGCAGTCTCCCCTCACGGTATCTCTTCGATCTCAATGGTTGAGGAATGGTAACTTCTCTATTAAGTGGTTAAAGATGTACCAACAGTTTGTTGAAGCATCTAGAGAACAATGATAATAAAACTGTGACTAATAGTAGGGACACTCAAGCAAGTCCCTTCGTTTAGTTCTTTTCTATTCTATATGCTTAAAGCATAAATATTTTCTTGATATTTTGTAGTTCAAACTAGAGCAGGGGCTTCAAATAATAAAAATATTCAAAGAGTATACTAGCAAAACATGCCTCTTGCATTGGTTTTTACAAAATTTAGGAGAATAAGGTTAAACAACAACAAACTAGTATTTTGTTCAAATTAATTTTAGGAGCTCAAAAATAAGCATTGTATATTTTGATTTAAAAGGGCTGAGAGCGAGAGAATCCAAGGAGGAGGACAGTGATCAGCGAGGAAGATTGGAAGGAGACCAGCTAAACAACAATGAACCATATTATTCAGTGTTTTGTTCAATTTAATTTTAGAAGCTCAAAAATAAGCGTTGTATATTTTGATTTAAAAGGGCTAAGAGCGAAAGAATCCAAGGAGGAAGACAGTGATCAACCAAACAGTATATTTTGATTTTTATTTTTTTAATAATTTACTATTAATGTCGTTGGTTATTCCTTTTCATTCGTAAATTACCTTTTTAATAAACATATCTTAAATGAAGTTATTTATATTATAGCATGGGTACAGCATGACCTGTTTATAATAGAGGATCCTAGTCCCAAAAGAAGAAGCACTCAATAAAGTTACTCGACTGGCCATGGTACGTACAAGATTAATGACTATTCTTGCCATTCATGTTCTCATATTTTACTGTTCTTGTACCATAGAATTTCACACACATAATTACATCAACTCAACCCAGAAACTATAATCTCCAATGGTTAAACCTTCAAACCTCAAAAACCAACTAATAACACTCAGAATCACACTACATACAAAAATTTAAGTGTCTATGTCCACGGTCAAGCTCCGGTAAACATTTCATTATGCCACAAATAAGAGATTACAAGTTTTAGCTCCCAAACCTCCCCTCTCTCGTATCACACTACAAACCCTAATTTTCAATGTGCTCTTGTATCACACTACAAACCCTAAATGCCTTTATATACTGGGTACAGGAGAATCTACAACTTGGGTTCATGGCTTGCAAGAGAAAATAGGTCAATTTTTTTCCTTCAAATTTCCAAATCATAATCAAATGGCAACGCCACCCAAGCCGAAACAAAATTCGGACCACAATAGAGATAAACCCCTTAATGATTCTTCTGTGACTCCGACCAACCTTGTAGTACATACCATGGATGGACAGAAACAGATTGTTTGGTCATCAAATGTTTCCAAAATATGTGTTTAAAACTTTAAATTACCAAAAGGTTTTTCTCGACAAAATGAAAATTCAAACTACCAATTAGTATTAGTTCAGATGGTATAGTCTCTCCACTACAAAGGGGAGGTTGGGGCAATATCATCAGTGTGCACTTGCGTTTGCTTGAACTTTGATGAAGAAAAAAATTTCAAACCAAGGGTCACCAAGGGCTTCAAGAAATAGATTTGACTATGACTTGGTCCAATCTCAAGATACTATGTATATGGGGTAAAAAACACATAGGGGAGGTTGGGGCAATATCATCCGTGTGTGCTTGCGTTTGCTTGAACTTTGAAGAAGACAAAAAAATTCAAACCAAGGGCTTCAAGAAATAGATTTGACTATGACTTAGTCCAATCTCAAGGTACTATGTGTGTGGGAAATTATCCGGATCGTATACAAAATAAAAATATTTGTAAGGAACAAAATGAATTTATAAAACATTTAAGGGGGCACTTCCCCCTAAGCTCCACTTAGCTCCGTCATTAATTTGACCTTTATACAAACTCATTATTTAACAATTTGTATAATATACTAAGGTCTATGTAAAGAGCGCTGAAAGGGAGAGCAAGTTAAAAGAGTTTTTATATTTGTTCAGACAATGTATGGTCAAATAGAGACGATTGACATGTTCTATGCAACATGGGAGCAAAGATTTTAAAACCTTTAATCATTAATTTATTTTCTAAAAAAAATTAATCAGGTTGTGAAGACTGTTTCAACAGTCCAACCAATCCATTTCATTTTTTGAACCATTTCTAGATGAAGTATAGTTTAGATGACATATAACAGATCTAGAAACCTTTGCAATTTAAAGATTAAAGGGTCGGTTTGATTAGATAAAAATTATTAATAAAAAGTGAAAGAAATTACATATAACCATTGCATAGGATACTGCTTCCGTTACCGGGATTTCCATTCAGAGCTTATGAATGGTCGTAGATTTGACTCCTACTTGATTTCCTTTTGTGCTCAGTCCGTCTCTCCTTCCATGCAATATGTATTTGTGATGTGGAGAAGTATGAGGAAAGAATAATGATTTTTATGGAGAGTTGAATTACTGTTGATGCATGGAAGTCCTTTGGCAACAGGTCAGAAGACATCACACCTTCCATATTCACCAACAAGAGCCACTCAACAGAGTTATTGGACTTAATTGCCATGGTACAAGCTAGCTTAACGACTCTTTTTCGAATCTTTGTTCTCATTTTTTACTGTTCTTGTTGTACTGATGAATTTTGCTCTGCCATAGACACAATTACATCTACTCAACCCATCAGTGACACAGAAACTATAATCTCCGATGGTGAAACCTACAAATTGGGATTTTTTAGCCCTGTTAATTCTACTAAAAGGTACGTTGGTATCTGGTACAATGAGATCTCTGTGACGGCTGTGGTATGGGTAGCGAATAGGGATAAACCTCTTAATGATTCTTCAGGGATTGTGACAATATCCAAGGATGGCGATCTTGTGGTCTTGGATGGACAGAAACAGATTGTTTGGTCATCAGGTGTTGCACATTCTTCTGTGAGTTCAAGTGCCCAGCTTTCTGATTCCGGGAACCTTGTATTGCGAGATGACTCTAATGGAAACATAATGTGGGAGAGTTTTGAACACCCTTCTGATTTTTTATTGCAGGGGATGAAACTTAGTACCAACAGGTTTACAGATAAGAAGACTCAGCTGACCTCATGGAAAAGTCCTTCAGATCCATCCAGTGGAAGGTTCACTTTGGGCATCAATCCTCTGAATATTCCGGAAATATATATATGGAATGGCAGTCATCCATACTGGCGGAGCGGTCCATGGAATGGGCAGATTTTTATCGGCTTACCTCAAATGATTTCGGTGTACTATAGAAGATACGATATTGCAGAGGATAAAGAAGGGAACATGTACATAAGTTTTACCTATTTAAAAGAGTCTCATCTGTCATATATTGCCTTAAGTTATGATGGAAATCTAATGACGAAGAACAAGAGTTGGGAAAATGTGTGGTCGGCTCCGGATATTGAATGTGAAGTTTATGGCAAGTGTGGTCCATTTGGGAGCTGCAATGAGCACGGTTCACCAATTTGCACCTGTTTACAAGGTTTTGTTCCAAAGCATATCGAGGAATGGAGTAGAGGAAATTGGACCAGTGGATGTGTAAGGAGGATACAGAGACAATTGCAGTGTGAGAGAAAAAACAGTGGTGGTGAAAAGGACAAAGAAGATAGCTTTATAAAGCTAATGATGGTGAAAGTGCCGGCCTTCGCCGAGTTGCTGCCATTTGCTGCAGGAGACAAGTGCAGAAGTCAGTGCTTGAATGATTGTTCTTGTACAGCTTATTCATATTATAGTGGCATTGGTTGTATGCAGTGGAGTGGAGACTTAATTGACATACAGGAATTCTCCTACGGTGGAGCAGATCTTTACATCCGTGTTGCATATTCAGAACTCGGTAAGTGTTTTTCTAATCCTCTTTTTCTTATTCTGTTTGTTTTACTTGATGATTCAGTATAAGCAAATATCAACCACTGCATATTCTAAACATGTTAGCCACCCGACATTTGTACTTATAGTTCAGAAATGCGTTTGTTGTCTATTTTAATAGCACAAGTATAATACCTTTTCCCATTTGCCAACAGAAAAAGAGAGCCACGGAAAGTGACTAAACTCCCAATTCTTTAATCCATATTAACTCGAGTACTCTCTCAAAGTTTGTTGTGTTTTACAGAAAAAAAGAGAATTACAAAACTAGATATCACAGTTGCAGTGCTCATAGGCTCATTAATCATTGCAATCTGTATCTATCTTTCCTGGATGTGGATGACTAGACTACGAGGTATATGCCCATTAAAATTAGCTCAAGAGATTTGCACATATTGCTGTTATTATATAGATTACCTATTACTAAATTTTGAATCAGGAAGGAAGAAAAAGAGGGCGAAGTTATTATTTAAAAGAGGGGTAGGGAATCCAGATTGTTCAAATGAAAGAATGCTTGGAGATAATCTTGACCAAATTGAACTTGAAAAGCTACCGCTTTTCAGTTTTGAGAAACTGGCAATTGCTACAGACAATTTTGATGTGGCCAATAAGCTTGGGCAGGGTGGTTTTGGTCCAGTGTACAAGGTAATGTTTGTTCATCGGAACTCTACGCTGTAAAAAATAAAATAAAATAAAATAATAAATCACTTTCATCTTTAATTTCAGGGAAAACTGCCTAGCGGACAAGAAATAGCTGTCAAACGACTTTCGAGAGCCTCTAGACAAGGGCTGGAGGAGTTTATGAATGAGGTTGTGGTAATTTCCCAACTCCAGCATCGCAATCTTGTTAGACTTCTTGGCTGCTGTGTGGAAGGAGAAGAAAAAATGTTGATCTATGAATACATGCCAAATAAAAGCTTGGATGCATTTCTCTTTGGTTAGTTCATGATAAAGCTTTTTTTGTTAGTTCAATTAGTAGGAACTTCATTGTCTTGAGAAGACAGAAAGCCTTTTCTTTTGAAGTGTTTTTGAACATCCTGATCTATTATTAGTCTAAAACTATAAATCCTATCTCAACATCAATTTTAATTTTCCAAACAACTTTCACATACTTGTTTCTTCTTTTCTTCAATATTCTTTCAGATCCAATCAAGCGAAGACTCGTAGATTGGAGAAAATGTGCCATCATTATTGAAGGGATTGGCCGAGGCCTTCTTTACCTTCATAGGGATTCTAGATTAAGGATTGTACATAGAGATCTAAAGACAAGTAACGTTCTATTGGATGAAAATTTAAATGCAAAAATTTCAGATTTCGGCTTGGCAAAGATTTTTGGAGGCAACCAAGAACAAGCCAACACTAGAAGGGTTGTTGGAACCTAGTAAGTAGCTTTTGCTTTGTCCAAAATGATTAATTATTCGTGATAATTTGTCTTTCTCATGGGATACTTCAACTCAAATAATTTTACTATTCGTGTTGTAATGACGTAATGTAGTGGCTATATGGCCCCCGAATATGCAATGCAAGGAAGGTTCTCGGAAAAATCTGATGTCTTTAGCTTTGGAGTATTGTTGTTAGAGATTGTAAGCGGGCGAAAGAACACTAGCTTTTTCCATGATGAGCACTCTTTAACCCTTCTAGGATTTGTAAGTTCACTAGAACTATTGCCTCAGTTACTCCATATAGTTCATTTTAATCTTTCTAATTTCAAATTTTCGTGGTTGTGTCACCGTGTCCAGGCGTGGAAGTTATGGAATGAAGATAGGATCGTAATGCTAATAGATCCAACAATTTTCGATCCATGCTTCCAAGTTGAGATCTTGAGATACATACATATAGGATTGTTGTGTGTGCAAGATTTTCCCACTGATAGGCCAACTATGTCGACCGTTAATTTGATGCTTAGTAGGGAAATTGCAAATCTTCCAACTCCAAAGCAACCTGCATTTACTGAAATATGCAATCTCTCAAATATACGGTCTTCTCAAAGGAGCCAAAGGGGATGTTCTACAAACAATGTAACTATTACAACCATGTATGGCCGTTAGCATGCAACTTCTTCTAGCATTCCTTTACTATCATCCATTAAGTACACTTTAATTGGCTATGCAAAATGTTGTTTTGTTTTCAATAATGTGTTCATCAACTCTAGGAATTGGTGTGGGTATTTATACTATTGAAATGTAGTCTCCTTGAGATGTGCCTAAGTTGTCTTTGAAGAATGCTAACATTCAATGATTGGTATGTTGATTGTGTCAAAATCGAATTGGCCTACGGAGCTATGCCGGAAAAGTAAGCTAGGGTTTGGAACTTATGGGAGCCCTAAACCTGAGTGGTTGTGTCACGTGGCTTGTGAAGCTAACGAAATTTAATTACTTAATTTATCATTGTTAATTACTTATTTTATTGAGACATGCAAAAGTTTTTAATTACTTAATTTATTTTATTTTATTTTATTTTATTTTAGATAGTTGAATGCTCAATTTTAAATAATTTGATGTCTGGGGTTAGATTGGAGTTATATAAATAAATTTGGCATTGGAATGTCAGTATAAATTGCACTTGTGAAATGTTTATTTGGCTAGATTGAAACTATTATAGGAGATGAGTAAATTCTTGGATTTATAAAGGTAATGGGATTATGTGACCTGGGAAATATGTACCATCACACATATGAATAATACTAATGTACATGGTCACTTGTATATTTATATCTATGTGTGTAGGTTGTAATCAGTTATCATATACAAGGTACATAAGTTAAATTCAAATATAGAATAATAGAAATATAAATACCATAGAATTATTAAAAGGGCTAAAAACATAAAACATCCCTGTTGTTTACAAAAATTATCTACTAAGCCCCTGAAGTACATAAACTATCATATTACCCTTTCATATTTTTTAAAATATATCATATCAACCCCTCCCCGATAGTTGACCATCTAAAATTAAAGGGATCTTATCACGTGACACCACGTGCACCATATATTGCATTATAATGACCAAAATACCCTTATTCTCTCAAAATGATGAAATTGCCCTTCTCGACAATCTTCTCTCTTTCTCTCTCTATCTATCTTTCTCTCTCACACCTAAACACAAATATACGACTTATCGAAAGCTCCTATCTATTAATATCGTCTTATCATTATCATATTGCTTTATTTTGATCTTCTCTCTCTACTTTAACCCCAAAAACATATCCAAAACCCTAAAAATTGACCCTTATTTGTATTCTCCTTTCCTAACTTTATACTCTGGCTCTATATCAGATTTTCCTATTTACCACCGTCGTTCACTCACCATCACCCCTCTCTGCGCCGGCCGCTGGCTGAGATGAACGTTGGCAGCGATTAAGTCAGTAGAGTTGATGACTTGGCCCCACCGCCATCGACATGACAACGACTACTATATCAGCCGATTACAAAGCCGCCAGTGGATGCAGAGTCGTACAAGCACTGCCATAGTGGCGGTGGTGGCATTGCTCATTGCCACTGCCATATAGCTACCACTCGTCTTCTCTAGGACCACCACACCTCGCTGGCACTGCTTCACGCGCTGGGAAGGAAGCCCTAATGGGGCTAAGGGATTGGGGAGAGTGAGGGATGAAGATGGGTAGGAAGAAGGCCCAATTGCCTGCATGCGGGTTTTGAATATGGAATAATGGGTTGGGGTTTAAAAAGGGGGTCAATAATTAGAGATTGCTTTCGGAGTGAAAGGAATTGGGTTGTCGCCATATACAAGAATTATTATATGTAAAATTTAGAGAGAGAGAGGGACATACAATTTCCATACATACCGGAGAGAGTAAGGGAGAGTCAAGTAGACTACGTGGAAGACCTCCAAAGATGATGAAGATGGCTGCCCAATACTACACTGTTTCACACGGGGGCATAATTGTAATTTTAAATTCATAATTTCATGTTAATATAATGTTAATATAATATCAAGGGCATTCTTGTCATTTTGTTGTCACTTAATGGTTCTGTAACGGAAATGGGGCAATGTGATAGTTTATGTTAGTTTAGAGAGTTTTTTAATAATTGAGTGTGTTATATGTAGTTTTTGTAAACAATAAGGGTTTTTTTTTTTATAAATATTTTTAGCTCTAATTAAAAAGAAAGAAACAATAAGAGTGACAAAAATTTGTATGAGCCTCCCCCGTCCCCTTGCATGAAAAAGCTATACAATTTCAAGATACAACCCAACTTGTAAGTTGTTTTCTTGAAAGCGTTTGAAGAAGACAATTGAGTTAGTCAAAATCCCCTCAAAATATGTAAACTATATAAGAATGCTAGAGAACATCAAAAGAGAGAGCAGTGTGCTCATTTGATTCGTGCATCTGATCTGTTCGTACTATCGGTCCGGTCGCGGTTTCATAAATAAGTGATGCATAGGAATCGGTTTGATTCATGAATTGTGGTATAAAAAAACTAATTCCATCTATGAATCTGATCCAATTTGTTACTCATATAATATATATGAATATATAAAAATATAATACTATTTAACCCGAAACATAATAGGCTAATCCCCATCCCCTTATAATATATATTTCTATAATATACATAAATTATATTACTATATAGTTATATAATTCATAAATCAAAGTTCAGTAACTTGTTTTTGAGCTTATTTTATGTTTCTCCAATTATGGGAGGCCATTGAAATAATTTGGTGAGTATAAACCACATGATCTTTAATTCTTCATCATGTAGTTACAACTTGCAGTCACTATATTGTCACTATATTGTCTCGATTATTTCATCTCAATCTTATATCTTCGGCTAAATTGCGTTATTTATAAAAGTCTAATTTGTAAAATCAATCCGATGTTTCACAGGTTGGCTGCCGTTACTTATAAAAACACAATTCAAAAATCAATGTGATGGTTTACTAATTGAGTTGATTCAGATTTAGACTCTTATGGGTTCAGTTAGAATTGGTTTTGGTTCTTATGAAAGTGTTGGACATGATTGGTTTTGATTTTAGGTCTAAATGGAACCAATCCGATCCGTCTGCACCACTAAAAAATATGGATACTGTAAATTTACGAGAGAGAATATACATATATATGTGTGTGTAAGTGTGTAAAGCCTATTTGATAGCCCACCTTATATGTTGCATTTTTTTTTTTCAGCATGAATCTACCTTATGATTCGTATGAAGTAAAAGAATCGTCTTCTGGGTCTGGATGCAAATTTGGGCTTCATGCGTGATCCCTTGGCCCGCTAAAAAGTCAAAACCTAATATATTATTATGCAAGCAGAATATAATACGTTAGGTTCATATCATAATAGGTTCATATCATAAGTGACAAGTATAAATAAAATACTACAGGTTAGGAAGCACGAATATTTTTACGAAGGAGCTGTACCCATGTCGAACACTGACACTTCGTTATATGTGTCCATAAATAAAAATTATGTTTTCTTTTTCTTAATTGGTACTCACACGCACATATCTCTACCAAGGCTCGAACCTCTGACATCTCTTTGGGAAGTAGGAGTCTAGTATTGCTAGGGCACTGGCACGTCGGTTACCATAATTATGTTTTCATCAACTCTATTCAAAACTCAGTGTTTGCCTTTATCCCTTCATATTGTTTCTTTTGAGAGAATCCTGTTTCTGTGATTCAGCCAAACTTCCACGACACATATTAAAGATATACACGCTAATTTGTGTCTGATAACCATAGAACATGGACAGAAGTCCATCTTGTTTTGTGGTCAGAAGTTACGATCTTGGCACCGTCACCATGACTGGCCCTCGCCATATATCAGCCTGTCATGTTAAAATTTGAATTTTGATACTCTTAACTGTAACTTTAAGTTCTATTCTAACCAAAATCATGAATGTCCTAAGGCAGAGTAGGTGTTTTTTTTTTTTTTTTTTTTTTTTTTTTTTTTTTTTTTTGTAGGACTTAAATTCAAGGAATTTTAAATTTGTATGCTCAATCTTCATTTAAATCTTTCTGGAAATATTGCAGAACAGACTCCTAAAAGGTTGATCCTTGTAATTAAGATGCATAGCAGCATCTCTGTTTTGCTAGTTTTTGCCTGTTGGTAAGAAAATGATACTTTGGGAATAAATAAATAAAAAACCATGAAGTCTATGAACATCTCCAAGAATAAGTCAACAATGATCACTTTTTAATTACAATTGACACAAACTAAAATATAATATAATTACAACTCCAATAAGATTTTGACACGATTGAGTTCAACCCTTTTATAATTTTAGTGGTTGTACTAAGAGAGTTTGTGACACTGTTCTATTTTGCTAGTTTTTTGCCTGTTGTTAATAAAATGATACTTACGAAAAAAAGAAAAAGAAAAAGAATCATCATGCCCATGAACATCTCCAACTATAAATTAAACAATTATGACTTTTTTAACTGCAGTTGACGCAAAACCAAAATATGAATAAAATTAGAACTCCAATAACAACAGTTCAATACGAAATTTGCAGCCTCTAATACGACTTAGAACAAAGACATGAACAACTGAAAAGAATTGAAGTGTTAAAATTTCTCATATTCATAAAAGTGACACACTGAAACCTCTGATAATTTTATCAGGACTTTTATTATAAAAATTGGATGGTTTGAAATCTGCAAATCAATTTTATTCTTATAAACCATATCAACATCTGGTATGACTTCAGCTAATATAAAATTAGATAATGATTGATACCATTCAACTCGCTGTATAATCTGTGAGTCGTACGCAGCGGAAAAAACTTAGAAAGTTTTGATTAATTAAAAAACATATCTTGTGTTTTTCTAACTTTCTTTATTTTAGCAATTAACAATTTAATATCATGCAATAAAATAAACCAAAGTTAGAGATGACACCAAGATTTTGGCAAGGAAACCCAATTGATAAAATACGTCAACTGTTTGCGTGAGAAAAACCTCGTGAACTGTGCAATTCAAAGTAAACCGATGCACTATGCTTAAAACAAAGTACACTGAATTTTGACTCTAGCTCACACCCTATCATTCTACCAAACACCAACTGCTGACAATCTTCTGGCTTTGTGA